TTGATCATAGTTGATATCAAATCAATAAATCTAAATAATTATAGATAAAAATGTTGTGTAAAGAATACTGTTATGAAATAGGTAAACATAGTACATTACATATATGCATTTCTGGATTGGAAAAGTTGCACGAAAGTACAAATATTTTAAGGATCTGCATGTACTGCAAACATCCTAAGTTTTCAATACTAAACTAAAACTTAGAAAATATTGTTTATGTCATGCCTATAAGATGACCTCAACTCTGCATGAATTCAATTTTCACTTCAAAAGAAAGTTAACTTATAAACAAGTATATATGGTTAATTTATGGACATGATATAACCATCATTTTGTAGCTATGCAAAAGAAAATGCTTAAAACCAATGCTTAAATGCTGTTGCAATTTTTTTTTCTTCTGGATCACAATTGGCAGAAATCTTTAACTGAAACCTACAAGGTAAAGTAAAATATTTTCCCTGACAAAAAATATCCCTTTATCATTTCTTTCTGCAACAAGATAAAAATTATATGAATAAGTAAGATTTACTTCAGGTAATAAACATATTCCTAGTGATTAAGGGGGAAAAACTGATAATAGGAAGCCAGTCCATGTTTGGATTATTTCCCCTGAAGAAAGCATACTTGTTTAACTTAAGTGGGTGATTCTAATCTACATCAAGATTTTAAAGAACAACTTTCCAAGTTTCTTGGAACACAAAAGAACTTAAATGCTGATATGAAAGAACCAATTTCAATGCTTTGAAACAGACATAATTCTGACTGCCTATAAAGTATACATCCTGTACAATGTATATGTAACATATATCTAGGTAAATCTTTATTTGTAAGTTGTATGGAGTAAGTATAACTTACCTGTTCAGAATCACTATTTCATACATTCAATTACTATTATTTTGGAATGTTTACAAGGCTTTTATATCCTGTTATAAATGTTAAACATGTCCAAAATATCTTTTTTTTGTTTTTCACAATGTTCACACTAAACAAAAGTGGCAGGTATCATGAGATGATGCAATCAATAACAAACTTCGTTTGGGAGAATGGACAACTTCCTACAGAACTATTCATAGGGAGGAGGTTGTCATTGCAAGAATCAGAATTGGTCATACATACATTACCCACTCACACATACTAAAAGGTGAAGATCCACCAGAGTTCGTTCCTTGCAATGTACCATTTACTGTTAAACACTTTATGACGTGTTCCGACCTGCAACCTATGCAACCTACGCATGATAAATACTATAATGTACACCACGACATGCAGGAACTTTTTGATACTATTCAAATCACTAGTATTTTAGATTTCCTAAAGGAAGTAAATCTTTATTTTAAACTGTAACTGTATGATCTTACCCAAACTAATTTTTAACTAATGCAAATACCAACTATTATTTACATCTTTTCATCAAGATACATCATTTACATTTTCCGTTGATCGGGAACCAATATCTTTAACTGTTACCAACATTTACCATTTTATATTTAACTACTATGGATTTTTTACTATATCGATGGTCGATATTGAACATTTCTTTTTACAAATATGACCTACTGTATGGCACTAAATAGCCTAAAAGTGCTGGTTCCCTGTTAAAATTAAATCAATCAATCAATCACTAAACAAAATAAAAGGCATTGATAGATGCATTTCCATGCTAAGTCATGGATGACATGCTGCAGATGAATGATGATAAAACTGATCACCATGCAAAGACTTTCTTATTCACATCAAATGATATAAGTATCAGCATTGCCAACATTCATCTTACATTCAGTGTGATACCTAGGTGTCTCTTGACAGTATGCTCTCATTACATCAATATGAAATGAACATATGCAAGGTTGCATATTTGGAGTTGAGATGCATTATCTTCATTTGCAATTTTCTTTTGGTTGATGCCACTAATACAGTTGTGTCAATTAGTACTTTCAAGATGGGACTAATGTAATTAACTGTTATCTGGTTCATCACCCTATTGACTACAGAAATTTAAAAAAAGTTCAAATGTGTATGCTCTGATCATCCTTGGAGTACAAAGAAGTAAGCACACCTCTACCTGCTCTGTAATCTTCACTGATCCAGAATCAAACACAAAATCAGTTCATTATGCAATATTCTGTTGACTGGCTCCAGTCCAATAAATCTATTTGACCTCACCCATGTGTACACTCCAGCTACATTTCTCTTCCAACACTTAGGTTCTCACAGTTCCCATGAAGTTAAAACAAAGTCATACAGATGTTCTGTTGCTTACCAAGGCCCAGCTACATGGAACAAATTGACCATATATCTTATACACAAGAATACTGTGTTCTCATTCAAAGAGCTCTTAAAATTCACCTATCTCAACCACAAGAACAGACTTAAACACTTAATAATGTTTACTTCCATTTTCTTGTGTTGTAATTTCATGGTGTTTGCTTTTCTAATCTTGTCATTGTACATGTTTTTATGTGTTATCTCACACTGTAAAGCACTTAAAGCTTCTAAAGATTATTCACTGTACTAAAACCACATTATCATTATTATTATTATTATTATTATTTTTATTTTATGTTTGTCATTTCTCAATACACTAAAACTTTTTAAAAAATTGTATGCATTATTTGACTTCATTTCATCTTATGGATGTATTATTATTTCCCCATTACACTGAGTATAAATGTTATCAAACAGGTCATTTGGTACATTAAATATATATCTCTCATACTTTCCCAAAAATAAGCAATCATAGAGCAGAGTGATTATTTCTCATAATAAAAACTATGGATCAGTATTTTCCTTTTAAAGACATCCATATCTGAGCAGATTTAAAGGTGCTCTGGATGGATTTAACAAAAAAAATGTAATCTCTGCATATTACATTCCAGGAATGGCAGCTTTGGAGGACATGATTATTTCATGTAAAAAATTCTTTCTAGTTTTTCTTTTTGGGGCAGTTATTGTTTCAAATTGGTGTCATAAAGTAAACATTCTGTTACTGTGAGCTTAAGAATTGGCATTAGCCAGTCCCAATTCAAATGAGTTATGGAAGGTAATGGGATTATTATGCATGGCTGACAGTACCACACAGTTAAGTATTCTTTAAAATACATTAACAGCTGTCTTAAATATCAACTAACAGACCCAAAGGATGCCAACATAAGCTGGTTTTTCATCACAGTAATAAAAAACCACAGCCATCAAAACATACTAAGTCACTGGGTTAAGATACATGTTATTGGTTACAAAAAATGGATTTTTCTTCCCTGTTATTTCAAGAAATTTTGTTGAACATTATAAATGCTGAATATTTGTGGAATTTTATTTAACAAATTTGATTAATAAACTGAATGTCCTTTTTACAGCCAGTTGAAACTTCCTTATAGGAAAACCATCTGTATTCTGGCAACCACTTTTATAATCATGCATTGTCCAAAAATTGACCTTATGTTTTTTGTCCAAATAGAGCCATTAAAAAAAAAAATCTTTAACTTGCCTCCCACTGCTGTGCTTGGGGATATAGATGAATACACATGCATGTTGTAGATCAAAGAGGGTTGTCCATAAAGGATGTCTGCAGATAATACCTGTTTTTTTTTTTTACCAACACCCCTTGTCCGCTTTTGTGTGCATGTGGCTTACCCCTTCCATGTCCCCATCTAGCATTATTAATTACTGCTCTGACAGTGTAATACCTGGTGCTCTCAAAATATGACACTCATTACAACATCTAGCATTATTAATTACTGCTCTGACAGTGTAATACCTGGTGCTCTCAAAATATGATGCTCTCATCACAACATCTAGCATTATTAATTACTGCTCTGACAGTGTAATACCTGGTGCTCTCAAAATATGATGCTCTCATCACAACATCTAGCATTATTAATTACTGCTCTGACAGTGTAATACCTGGTGCTCTCAAAATATGATGCTCTCATCACAACATCTAGCATTATTAATTACTGCTCTGACAGTGTAATACCTGGTGCTCTCAAAATATGAAGCTCTCATCACAACATCTAGCATTATTAATTACTGCTCTGACAGTGTAATACCTAGTGCTCTCAAAATATGACGCTCTCATCACAACATCTAGCTCCAAACAAGGAAACAAAATAAACAGAAATCATTCAAATAGAAATTAACAAAAAATTTATACTTAGGGATCACCCATAATGGATATCCACAAAGCATAATGGAATACATGCAGTAGGTCTAAAACAGCTGTTCAACACAGAATATCATAACAAAAATAAAAGCTTGCTGATGTCTGCAAGGTCCTATACACCCACAACCTTTGTCCGTATTTGAACAACCCACTCCATCTTTGTGGAAGTCCTCAATTGATAATCCCAAGGGTTTCAAAATGAAATAACCATGAGGGTCACATGAAGACCAGTACCTTTTATTACAGCCAAAGCAGCTCATATACAAGGTATCCAGTTGAAATATGTATGAAAGAAGTAAACAATGTAACAAATCAAATTTTTATTAAAACTGAATTGCTGTGAAGAGAAAATTTGGATTATTATTTTACAAATTCAGGATGTTGTTGCAGACAACAAGAAATAGCTCCACACGCCAAGTGTTTGAGATCCTATTAAAAATGGTGACTGATGCAGACTGCCTGTTTTTCAGTGGGCTTTGATTTTTATGGAACAGCAATGCAAGTAGTTTATTTAGTTCCGAGGCAATTCAAATAATCAACTTCCTTAAGAATACACAACTGTACCCAACCCAGTCTGGAACGATAATGACTACATATGCACCATGATAATGTTCCAGTGGGAGGACCTGGCCTTAAATGTGAGTGGTTTATATATACAAGAGACACAAGTGGGCCAGTGACTGCCAGTATTTTACATAAAAACTTAATACAAAGGAGCTGACCAAAAAATTCTTGGTTAGTAGCAATGTCTGCCAATATTGCAACATTTTTTTTAGCTATTATTTTGGAAGGAACAACATTATTTGTATAAAATTGCCTCCATACCAGTGTAAGCACTCCAGTGGCCTAGTAGTTAGAGCATCTACCTTAGATGCAGGAGGTTGCAGGTTCAAATCCCGGCCAAGTCATACAAAAGACCTATACAAATAGTACTAGCAGTTGCCTCGCTTAGCACTCTGAATTTAGAGGTCATTGTTGGACTGGTTGGCCTGGTGTCAGGATAATGTGACTTGGTGGTACTTCATGCTACATGTTTGCAGCATGATGCCCCAGTGCCAGACATCACTATAAACTACCACTCTGCAGATATCATTGCAATATGACTGTAAAATTGCTAAAGCTACCTTAAAATTTTCAAATCATACACACACTGACTTTTATGGAAAAGTTGCTTGAAGGTTTTCCTATTTTTACTAATGGCAATGATATTTGCTGATGAATCAGCAATACTTGTACAAACTAGAAATTCTTCCTGTGAGAAGGCTTTCTGTCAAATTTGATCAAGTACTGTTCATTGTTTTTTCAGAATAAGTGATTAATTTTTTAGTAAGGGTAACCATAACTGATGGCAGGTAGATAACATTGGTATACATCTAAAATTTCTACATGCCAGTGTGTACTTTGCCAAATTAGGTCAGAATTGCTTGAGTGGTTCAATTAGAAAGCATGAAAGAGTAATCACTGACGAATGAACATTATAAGAATTTATAGCAATTAAACATAACTACATTATGGATTTTTTCTTTCAATTTGCTGCACAATTGTAAAAAAAAAAGTGAAATCTTGTGCCATACTGTGGCCATTTGTGATATTAAAGTTCAGTATATACTGCCTTATAAGTCGGCTCCAACTGCAAAAAAGACCCTTATATGCCGTCACATAATGCAATGGCAGATCAGAGTCTATTTTGTTTGTATCCCTGTGTAATATTAACAAACTGCAAAAACCTGATCTGCCAGCACATTATGTAATGCTAATCTGGGTCTGTGCAGTTTGCAGTTGGATTAGAAGAATGGAATAATTATAAAGATAATGATATGATAGGAATATATACATGTATAAAGGTTACTTTGTATATTTGATTAAAAAAACAGAAACCATTATATTTGGGATCATTATATGCCGGATTACTCCATTTTCTTCTGCATTTTTGTTGACAAAGACTCACTGGATTGGTATTAGATGTTTTGGTAGTGTCACTATTGTCATTTTTTTGAATTTACCTACTGCCTGTGACCTCTAAATGCTTAATATTTTACTGGGTTTTCAGCCATTATTTTCCATAAATGAACTATTCAGCATCCAATGGTTTTTAATACCTTACATCAGCTAATTGAGTACTCAAGAAGTACTTGGTAGTCTTGATAAATGAGAAATTGCAGAAAACTCCTCAGTGATAAATTAAAATATTTAATAAACTTCACTGTCGGCACACACAGCAATGGATTGAAAATAATAAATATGGTATGTGTACCTTTTACAATGCATCACAGCTGTTTGCATGTACCCTTTCTTCAGTGCCAAAATGGCACAAGGTGTAAAGAAAATGGAGAAATAATGTGCACCAGAAGTATACAAGTATAGTGCAGGCGAGGAACCAGTCTACACTCATGGTCAATTTGGCAACAGTAGCACAGTCAAGATTCACATGTGTCATAAAAACAAAATCACACATGTCAGCTATGTTTGATCTGGTTTTCTTTGTAATCATTGAGAAACTTGTAGAAATTGAGGAGAAACTTGGCTACAAACATTTTCTCTGACTCAACATAGTACTTGCATGAAGCTTGAATATTTTTATGATGTTGTTTTGTATATATCAAGTGCTGTTGAAGTGTTGTTCATGTACACTGTTAACTGAATGGGAATACTAATACAGAACAATGAAAAAAGTTGTATATCACCTGTATATGGACCCATATCACCAATGTATGCAAATCCTTGGTGTTTTCTACCTACCCGTTAAGACCCCAGCATCCTGACTGGATATCAACTTTCTTTGAGGTGTGGCCTCATAGTCTGTGATTCCAGCACCTTCTCCTACAGCAGTAAACTCTGTATCCTCATCAGCATCCAGTTTGCTCAATGCTGGGTAGCATTCTATGACACCCGATTTCCGGGCGTCAGAAAGTGGATATAGGGGCGGCACTTTGACCAAGGGGTGGTGGACCTTTCAACATTACAGTAGGGGAGTTGTAAGTTGTTGATGCAACACAGTTCCTGTAGTTAGGCTGAAATTAGAAGTACTTTTAATCTTAAAGCAAGTTTAAGGTTCAAAGGTTGAAAAGTTGCAGCATTAATAAAAAGAAATTTTATATTTTTTTAAACACAAATAATACTATCATACAGGTTGAGACTTTTTAATTTGTCTATGGAGATTTGAACCCAGGACTGTGGGTAAAAGGCACCCATAGCCTATCCTGCACACATAAGCTCACACATGAGTGCATATAGCAATAATTAATTAGCATCATTGGTGATGAGTGCTTAGTCATGATAGAATATGGACTGGTGTATGTAGGAAAGGCAATGTGTGTCATTTACCCATGGACCTGGATTTGAATCTTCATAGAGTATTAATTACAAATTCTCAAACCTGTATGATAGTATTATTTATATAAAATATTAATTCAGGGATAGCACTTTCCATTTTTTCTGCTGTATATTTATAATTCTCTTTAATTAATCCTATATACTGGTACCTTGATTTCTTTCATATGAATCCAGAATGACTGAAGATAGATGAGAATTACAAGGTGATCATACTGGTGTGTATGTCACATGAGTAACACTGATTAAGTAACATCATTTTTGGTGATGTTTGTTTAGTTGTAAAGGAATATGAGCTGGTATGTGCAGGAAAGGCAATGGGTTCGATTTACCAGCAGACCAATCTCCAGAGTAAGAATTAAAAATGCTCTAACCTATATGATAGTATTAAATGTATTAAATATATACTTCTGCCTACTACTATCAAGCATTCTCCTTTATAACCCAGGGATAGCACTTTCCATTCTATCTGCTGTATACAATGTGACCATGGTAGTTGATAACCATTGAACCCAATCCTGCTATAGGAACCATGTTATAATCAACCTGGTCAGCTGAAGAAAATCATGCATGTACCTGAAAACTGTTCCCAAGGGGCTTAGGTAATAAATGCAGGTACAAAAATCATTATTTAGATGCATATTATTCTTCATTGGTACATATTACATGTATACTGTTTGTATATATATATATATATATATATATATATATATATATATATCTATCTATATATATATATATATATAGATAGATATATATATATATATATATATATATATATATATATATATATATATATACACACATGTTATGTATAGCAATGAATAAATTATCAAAGCCATATACGTCACTTACATTGAATCCATACAAGTAATTCCATTGGAAATATGCACACATACTCAGATTGAAAATATTCAATAATTCTGTCACAGGTCATATAGATCTGAATTCAGAGAAAAAAAAATAGCACAATCATGTAATGAATAATGAAGCACATTTACTTTACAGTAAGACCCAAGTTGGTAAAAGTTTGCATCTTAAGCTCCATTGGTAGAGTTTGTATCCATAAAAGTAAAACTGTTCCAGTCATGTTGGAAAATGAAACAATCTATCAGATTGCATTGATTTTATTTAAGTTTGGTACTAACTTCCTTTGAAGAAAGGTTCTTTGTTTTAAATGAAGATTGTAATCAACTTTATTTGATGAAGGGTGCACAAGTTTTTGAAGTCACTGATAAAGGATAGATTTGGAGAACCACATAAATGCCCATTTCTTATTTTTTCGGCAACATAAAAAATTGTACTGCATGACTGAGACTGATTTTTTCCCTATTTGCTTTGTACATTTTCATAACAATCACTGCTTCAAAGGTTATGGTTTCTTTGAAATTTCAGTTATTATTTTATCTGGGTCCATTTTTAAAATGAATTAGCCATCATATGATTAACTGTAGTTACTGTTTCTCTATGTCTCTTGAATAGACAAGTGAGAGCTTTTTGTTTTGTTTTTGTTTCTTTCTGTTTTGTTTTTATTACATTAGTAGTGGAGTGATGCTGCTTTCCACTCATGCATCAGAAATTTAAAGAAAGGGTCAATTGACAATAGACACACAGGTGTTCTGGTCTGATGACAGGGATTACTATAGAAAAGTTAATGTTCTGAAGGATTTAATTTGGAGTGAAAAAAAAAGAAGAAATTTTACTTCCCATCCACATGCAAATGTCAGTCTATGTAAATATATTAATTTAAATTACTAGGCAGTGGCTGAAAATCAACAAAAGATAGATTATTTAATAATGCCACGTCCAGTTGATCTCAGCTACCAGAAACATAAATTTGAAAAAAAGAGCAAATATCTCAAAACATACAGTACTCATGCTAAATGTCAACATTAGCTATAACAATGCACTGTTAAGATGGTTGGTCAATATGGAGAAAGAATTTACAATAGATAAATTGCAGTGCTTTTTATGGAGCCTCTGAACACTCCAAACCAATGGTTGTACATACTTGTACAAGTTTAAACAGCCAGCAATGTCACCAATGGTATATTTTGCCAACAATAAGGAAAAAAAAAAACACAATTTGTGACATTGTCGAAGCCCAGAGTGATTCCTGAACAAACATTTTACACATTTTTTGTACCTTTAAGAAGAAAACACTATTTTTCGTGTATGATAAAAATGCATACAAAATTTCAGGAGACATATCACGAATGTCTTCTATTATTCATACACGATTGTCTTCTATTATTCATACACGATTGTCTTCTATTATTCATACACGATTGTCTTCTATTATTCATACACGATCGTCTTCTATTATTCATACACGATTGTCTTCTATTATTCATAAACGATCTCTTCCATAATATGATAATAAACTTTGAGAGGTTGTTGTACTTTTAAGAAAGAATTTTTTTGTTTACAAGAAATATACATATATATAAAATTAAATGAAATTTCAGGAGCCACACCATGACTGTGTTATATCTGAATTTGTGTTATAATATGTGTGCTATAGTGGTGTCATACTGTGTTTGTGTCATAGTTGACAGTTAACTGAATTACAAACATC